CCCCCCCCCCCCCCCCCCCCCCCCCTCCTGTCTTCTGGAGCCTTCCTCCAAAATAAGACTTAGTGATAAAGAGCATCAAAAGAGTGAGGAGAGGAGTGATACCAGGATGAGAGGCTAACTTCCATAAAGAAGTTTGACAAACTAAAATCTCCTCCGACGAGTTCGACCTCAGCCAGACTCGAAGCCTCGCCCAATTTCACGGTAGCATACTGCAAGGCCTTACAGTAGGAAGACATACTGCAAGGTCCTACGTTAGGTGGGCATACTGTAAGCTCCTACGGCAGATAGACATACTGTAAGGTCATACGTTAGGTGGGCATACTGTTAGGTCCTACCTTAGTCGGACATACTGTGAGGTCCTACAGTAGGTAAGCATACTGAAAAGTCCTACGTTAGGTAGATATACTGTAGGGTCCTCCGGTAGGTAGACGTACTGTAAGCTCCTACTGTGAGTAGACGTACTGTAAGGTACCACGGTAGGCAGACATACTGTAAGTTCATACCTTAGGTAGAAATACTGTGAGGTTCTACGGTATGTAGGCATACTGTATGGTCCCATGGTAGGTAGACATACTGGAAGTTCCTACTGTAGGTGGACATACTGTAAGGTCCCACGGTCGACAGACATACTGTAGGTCCTACTATAGGTAGAAATACCGTTAAGTCCTTCCGTAGGTAGACGTACTGTCAAGTCCTTCGGTAGGTAGACATACTGTAGGGTCCTACGGTATCTACCTCTCTGCGTACACTTCCCCATCCCAAGCCTAAATCTGATGTTTGATTGTGTATATTAAAACTTCTCTCAAGATACCTCAACACTTAGAGGCCTTCCTGGAAACCCATCTCTAACCCTCACTACATCTGTAAGCCCTTGTTTGCCTTTCGAACATGGGCCGAAGCGCGTCTTGAGTTAAACCACCCAGTTCCCACCTAGGTCTTCAAGTCAGAAGCAAAATCTGTGGCTGTTTTAGGAGCAAGGGTCCCCAAATAAAAAATAGGCTCTCGAAAACGACTTCTCTCGAAGTCAGGTGAAATGGGATATGGTAGCAAAAACCATGTTGTGTTAGTGCCAGTATTATTAGGGTCATAGAAGTCATTTCGCTGTTGGAAGCCTGCACTTGATCGAGCTTGACTATAAGCAGTCTAAAAAAGAGCGAGTTAAGGAACAGTAGACCCGTTTGGATGATGACAGCGGGAGTAACTGAAATAGAACCGACCTTGGAATATAATGGGCTGCACCGATATACGTATCATACGTCAGTCACCGGCGCTTTTGGCTACCTTCGCGACCTTGCCCAACCCCGTGTTCTCGCCTTTCGATGAAGAGCGAAGGCCCGGGTGACACGTTTGTGAACGGGCGCCTAAAAGATAAGAGATACGAATACTTGTTTGCTCGAATATTATTAGAAACGATGTTTCAACAACTGCAAGGGTCGGTCTGGGTGCAGTCACGGACAGTCAATGCACAACCTTGTGCTACCGTCCTCCCGGGGAAACGCTTTACTAATTTACGACCTCTAAAGAGCTGGGTAACGAAAACGAGACTGGATTCGTTAAAATCTGAACCTTATTCTCGATAAAGGC